ACACACACACTAACACACACACTAACACACATACACTAACACACACAAACACACATACATACACTAACACACACATACACTAACACACAAACACTAACACACAAATACACTAACACACAAACACACACACTAACACACACATACACACAAACACACATTTTTTTTTAAAAAATGTAATCCCCCCAGCCTCCTTACCTTTTGGAGTGCTGGAGGGATTCCCTGGGGTCCAGTGGTGCTGCTGGGCTCCTGGGCGGGTGGCCGGTCGGGCAGGAAGGCGGGCGCGCGAGGGAGCACTCACTGCTTCCTCTTCAGCTTCCTCGTGCGCCGCGTAGGGATGCCGGCGCCGGAAGATGACGTCATCTTCCGGCTCCGGCATCAGTGCGGTGCGCGAGGGAGCTGAAGAGGAAGCAGTGAGTGCTCCCTCGCGCGTCCGCCTTCCTGCCCGACCGGCCACCCGCCCGCCGGGGTCAGCGGGGCCCACGGGGCAGGTGCCTCGGGCCCCCCAAGAGAAACTGGGCCCGGGGCAGCTGCCCCGTTTGCCCCGCGTTAAAGACGGCCCTGGTTGGACTGAGTATTTAAAGTAGGAACTCTACCAGTAGAATAACCCAGGACTAGGATGGCAAAACCCTCACTCAGCTGTAGCCAGTCTCTGCCCCCTACCCAATCTATTACAACTAAAGGAATAAGAATACTGAGAAAAAGAAGAACCCCCTAATGGCAAAACCTTCTCTAGTCCTATATGTGACCAAAGATGCATATCCTGCATGCAAAAGGACAGGGACGAATCGCTTGCCATACGCCTATGAAATTCTGAATCATACTCTCTATTGATCTCCTAAATTGGTAATAAATATATTTGGTCATCTCCATATATTTAAGAACAGGTATGGCTTAAATACCTCACTTGGAGTATTGTACACAGTACTGGAGACCGTATCTTCAGAAGGATATTGATACCTTAGAGAGGGTTCAGAGAAGGGCTACTAAACTGGTTCATGGATTGCGGGATAAAACTTACCAGGAAAGGTTAAAGGATCTTAACATGTATAGCTTGGAGGAAAGACGAGACAGGGGGGATATGATAGAAACATTTAAATATATAAAGGGAATCAACACAGTAAAGGAGGAGACTATATTTAAAAGAAGAAAAACTACCACAACAAGAGGACATAGTCTTAAATTAGAGGGACAAAGGTTTAAAAATAATATCAGGAAGTATTACTTTACAGGGAGGGTAGTGGATGCATGGAATAGCCTTCCAGCTGAAGTGGTAGAAGTTAACATAGTAAAGGAGTTTAAGCATGCGTGGGATAGGCATAAGGCTATCCTAACTATAAGATAAGGCTAATGGAAGTATTTCGAAAATTGGGCAGACTAGATGGGCCGAATGGTTCTTATCTGCCGTCACATTCTATGTTTCTATGTTTCTAGTGCATGTGTTATGGACCTGATTAATGGAAAGTATAATCCACTTCTGTTGGGTGGAATATGCGCCAAACATCTAGAAAGTTGTGGGAGATAATCATATCGCAAAGGGAAGCAGTTATAACATCACGCCTCCTAGAGGTATTGTGGGTTACTGTTGCTGAGGAAGGTGTATCTAGGGAGCAATCAAGTAACAAGTTGGTGTCTCCACCAATAATCACTTCACCAAATTTATATGTCAATGCTAGTGTGAAAATTTTGTCTTAACACTTTCTGATTCTCATATGGACCACAAACAAGAGGTCCCCCAGAAGAAGGCCTCGTAGCCAAAACGTCAGGGTTTTCAATTCTCCTGCTCTTGGTTAGCATACCTTTTTAATGGGTGTTTGCATTTAGCACTGTATTATTATTGTGGTATTGGTACTATAAATTGGTTATGCACTATTTTATGAACTTTCTTTCTGTCAAGATATTGTGATGTACTTTCAGTGCATGAATAAATGCTTTTTTTATGTGCAAACTTTGGGGTGCCTTGGGATCATTATTACTCCTATTATATGTATATATCTTATGTGGGAAAGGATTTTGTTTCCTTAAAGAGCACCCGGTACTTTCTATACCACATTACTTATCACCCATTTTCAGTTAAGCTTTTCCTATAATTATATATTTGGACCATAAACATTAAACAGAGTAAAAGGTTCATTATTCACATAACATTGCAATATTAAAAACCTCCCATGTTTATCACTGATCTGTTTCTGTGCCCTCTTTGAAAGTGTGTTTCTTGGTAGAAAGCAATTATCATTTTTTGGCTTCTAGTAATGCCAACCTGCGTTTGTGTGGCGAGTTTAGCCCTTTAGCATTGAGTGCTAAGATTGTTACAGCCATTTAAGATTATAATAGCGTGCGCCAATCTGAACTATGAAGAGACATCCTGTGGGTTTGCGTCCACAAGAGACATCTCAAGGAAATAGCAGTGGTTTACACCGTCTTACTCTGTGTAGCAGGGTTTGATCCCTTATGAAAAGATTATGTAGTGATATGTGTGGTGCAATCACCTTTGTGCCGGGGCCAGGTGTATATGCCATAAAATGCCCATATGCGCCAACTATATGCTATCAGGCTACATATTTAGTTGGGCAGCCTTTCACTGGTGTTGGTGTTTCATATCATTAGACATGTAACAGCAGGGCACTTTGTACACCCAATGCCACTGTAGCTTAGTATTAACTGGTCATAGCAAAAAAAGAAGAATTGGGTATCAAACATATAGAATAGACAGAACTATATACATAAAAGTTACCAGGTTTGCGACACCTGGTAGGGTGTGTCGGTTTTGCGGCTCCATAGAGCCTGTGGGGGGATGCAAATATGCTGTGCACATAATTTACTAAGTATACATTTTACATTAATTGTATTGTATATGTAAAGTGTGGCATAGATCTCCCACCCATGAAAAGTGGGCGTCAAGAGGTCCCTGCCACAGGTGCCCCATTATGAGGTGCCACTTAACAGAGCGTGAACCCATATTAAGTATAACATTTGTAACGTATGAGAGCACAATGCAAGGCATTCACATGGCCCTGTAACACAAAACATGCAAGTAAAGTAAACTATATGCTCACTAAATTAGTATACGTGGGTCTTGTAGGCATGGTATTCCACCAATGTGTTTCATTAGGTATGGATAGTTAATTTGGTGCTGTGAATTGTGGTCCACTTGTGGGAGATCTTTGTTGGAGATTTCTGGCTTTGTCGGGTAGGAGCTGGTTTGTCGGGAACAGGGATAGTTATGTTCCATTCCTTCAGCATTTTATGCCCTCCACCGGGGTGATAACTTGCTTCTCCGTGCCGTTGCGCCGCACAATAAGGTGGTTTGGAAAGCCCCATTTGTATAGCACACCAGCTTCCCTTAATGCTCTGGTAATAGGTACAAATTCCTTGCGCTTTAGTAAAGTAGTGGACAATAAATCTACAAAGAGCTTTATTCCTGCAAATTGCGCCAGGAATGCCTTGGTGTTCCGGGCAGCCTGCATGATGGTTTAGTTTACGGAGTAGTAATGCACTCTGGGAATTACGTCCCTGGGTAGAGATGCAGCAGACGAACATCTTGATCTGAGAGGCCAGGTACCGGGGACTTAAACAGGGCCATAGCGTAGTCCTGCAGCTCGGAGGGTTCTATCTCCTCTGGAATACCTCTGTTTTACACAGTCTTCATGGTCTGCAACTTTGGAGATGAGAGCTTCCAATTTTGCTTTAATTTGTTCGTAGGCTGCTGCTAGGGTGTTGTGGGCTTCAATTATTTCCTCCACCTTGTCCTCTAGCTGGGCTGTTCTTTCGCTGATCGCCTGTATGTCTGCTCTGACATCTTTTGCCAGCTTAGCAAAAGCGACTTGCATTGTTACTTGCAGCTCATTGAGAATCCATTGAACAGACGACTCTGAAGCTAGAGCTGGGTGTACCTGGGAGATGAAGATCTGGTTGCTCTTATCAGAGCAGGATGCAGGGGAGGTTTGTGCACCCATCCATCGCATACGCATGTGGCAGGTAGTGGTCTAACAGTCTCCACCATTGCCCCTTTAAAACGATGTGTTGTTTACCTTGGTGCTGTTTGATATTGCGAGTTACAATTTGTCAACTTTAGTTTTAGTGATTAGATAACAGGAGAAGGAGAGGAAGATAAAAAGAGACAGAGAACAAGAAGTATTTGGTAGCATATGACACTTGGCTGTTGGACATGTACATAGATAGTGTCGGTGTGTGTCCACCTACCGCCGGGAGCCCTCTGATCAGATATTGTGGTGCGAAATGGGTTTTCCATGTCTCAGGAATAGGTCAATAGCCTGAAGCGTGTTTCCCTCCCCCTGGTTTTTAAGGGGCTCAGCGAGTCGCCATCTCGGGAGTCGTTACGCTCTCTACCTGTTGCCGGCAGCTGGCAGGGGCCTTCTGAAGGCTTTGGTTTGCATTCCTCTGTTCGCACCTGGTCTTTAAACAATTTGCCGGGTCTACCTCTCCCTACCTCCCTCGGGCGGTATATGCTACACATAAGAAGTGAAGGATAGAAGTAAGAGAAAGGTAAGTAGGTGTTGAGAAAGGATACCGAGGTAGGGGTGAGGGGGGGGGGGCAGGAGCCGATGCGCTTCTTTCCTTTGTTTTAGCTGTCCTATGGGTCTTGGGTCTACTGGGTGTCGCTAACTCAAGGGGCTATCTTCCCATGGTGCCCATATTTTCTGAAATTGTTTTTGAGATCCCCTAACTCTTGCCGTCAGGCCATCCATCATATGTACCTCCCTTATTCTATTAATGATCCCCGTGAGAGGTGGAGTGGTCTGTTTAAGCCAGTCCGCTACCACTGCTCTCCTGGCTGCTAGAGTTACTTTGTGGATGAGTTTTTGTTCGTGTCTAGTCCACCCATCAATTGTTCTACTGAGTAAATATAACCAAGGGTCTGGGGGGGGGGGGGGGGGGGGGGGGGCTCTGTTCAGCACTTGGGTTAGGATATCTCTAATTTGTTGCCAGAATCTTTGCATCAAAAAGGTTCATTTTTATTCTAAATTATTTTTGCTTAATGTTTACAAAAAAAAAAAGTGCCATTAATTTCTAGGATAAAATTACAAATATCTAGACTTAGTGAACGGAAAACCTAATGATATGTGAAATTTAGGTCAAAATAAGCTTAATTGGAAGAAACTTTTATGCTTTTCTATTTTGTCTGTTTTGGGCCTAAAACCATTGTTAACAATTAATAAATGATAAATAAAAGCAATTCTGTAATGAATTTGAAATTGAATCATTAAACAAATTGCATGCAGTTCATCCAGAAAATCTGACCAAGTGAAGAAAACAATGCAGTTACTAGGTCTGTTAAACAACAGCAATTACATGACAATAAATGTTTTGTATTTCCTGGATGGAGCGCCCCCTCCTGGTATAAAGTAGACATCTTTGTAACACATAAAAGATAAGCACTTGTGAAACTACAAACTAGCCTAGTGATGGCTAACCTTGACACCATAAATTGTTTCTGGACTATATTTCCCACAATGCACAGCTAGCTTTTAGAAAGCTAGCTGAGCATGATGGGAAATGTAGTCCAGAAACAATTTATAGTGTCAAGGTTAGCCATCACTAGCCCCTTAGGAAGGTTCAGATCACAAACTATATAGAAAGCTGGGATAGTGTTCCCACCTCCCTGACCAAAAGATAAGAAATATAAACATGGATTAAAATAGCACTTTCAAACAAGAAATAAATAAAACATAAAAATTGAAAGGTTAAAGGACAAGGGGTTAATCAATGGCAGTCAGAGAAGGGGACATTTGAGAGAAAACATGGGACAGAGGTTGTGAGGAAGTAGAGACCGAAATGCACCAGGGAATAGAAAATAAAGTACACATTAATGAAATGTAACAGTCCATGGGACAGAGAACCACAGGCAGTAGAATAGATCAGTGAGACATGCAAAGGAGGTTTGAGAAGAGCTGGGGTCATAGCTGGTAATAGGTGTGAAAAGAGCTGGGGTCGTAGCTGGTAATAGGTGTGAGAAGAGCTGGGGTCGTAGCTGGTAATAGGTGTGAGAAGAGCTGGGGTCGTAGCTGGTAATAGGTGTGAGAAGAGCTGGGCTCATAGCTGGTAATTGGTGTGAGAAGAGCTGGGGTCGTAGCTGGTAATAGGTGTGAGAAGAGCTGGGGTCGTAGCTGGTAATAGGTGTGAGAAGAGCTGGGGTCGTAGCTGATAATAGGTGTGAGAAGAGCTGGGGTCATAGCTGGTAATAGGTGTGAGAAGAGCTGGGGTCATAGCTGGTAATAGGTGTGAGAAGAGCTGGGGTCGTAGCTGGTAATAGGTGTGAGAAGAGCTGGGGTCATAGCTGGTAATAGGTGTGAGAAGAGCTGGGGTCGTAGCTGGTAATAGGTGTGAGAAGAGCTGGGCTCATAGCTGGTAATAGGTGTGAGAAGAGCTGGGGTCATAGCTGGTAATAATAGGTGTGAGAAGAGCTGGGCTCATAGCTGGTAATAGAGCATAGGATACAGGTGGTAGAGAAGAAAGAGGTCACAGTTTTTACATGTTTCTTGATTTAAGAGAGTAGACACCCCACATTCATTGTTGGATTAAGAACCCATTGGACCTGGTGCTGATGATTATTAAAGCTCTAATGACATAGTCTTATTTATAGAAAACACTAAAACAGTCATCCCTCCCCCCAATATTGTTGTATCTGGAAGAGGTTGTGTTTGATGGACACTCGCACAATGCATTTTAAGCCTAAACGTTCCTTATGTCAGTCTATCTTTTCAACCTTTTAACCCAGTCTGTCTGTCCATCTTACAAGCCCCAATCTGTCACTAATCACAAACTCTGAATTCCCTCTCCTCGGGACTCACTCGCCCACTTCTCTCCTTCCCTTCTTACTACGAGGCAGAGGTTTGCTCCTGGTATACAGCCTGGGAAAGATAGAGGTGGATGTAGCTGAAAGAAGTCACGTCACACTGTCACATTGTAGTAGTATATTTAAATAAGAACAAAGTAAGAACCTACCCTACTCCTCTCCAGTATTGAGAATAACCCATACAACTAACTTTAATATGCCAAAAAAGTTAACTGAAAAGAATGATGAAAAGAATAGAAAGATCTGCAATTAAGGCATTCCTTGTATAAATGATTACTTTTTGTAGTCTTTAAAAATAAATGATCAATTCTTAGAACATACTAATGTAGACTGTTTCTATAAGGGATTACCCAAAATAACTGTGTCTCATGGAAACACACATATCAATTTCATCACAGGCTTAAAATACAGTTCATGTGAATTTGAAATATATCCAAAGTCCTCCAAAAGGGATCTAGACTATTAGGAGGATAATGTGATACAAAATGTGATACCTTATAAGCATGTGTTACTATATACTAATACCTCAACCCTCCACATGTAGTGTCTATGCTACTGACTTCTCTACACAATCCTATACACCAACTACAGCCCCAAAGATTAGAAGAGAACCCCCTAATGCCTTGACGTCCTAAGAGTGTTTCAGCCTACATAACCTTCTCCTTGCACAGTACCATCCCACAAAAGTGTTGTTCCCCTGCATCCCTCCAAACTTCCCAGTCTCCATTCCCTCTGCACAACATTTTAAAGAAAGAACATTTTTTTTGGGGGGGTGGGGGTGGGGAGGGTTTAGGAACAATAGGTCTGTTCCATGGGCACGGTCCTGGAGGAGCTGCAGCTCTATTAGCCCCTAAATTAATCCATCTCTGCCCATATTCATGGTTGTAGCTATACTTGCTCACGCTGCTTTCAAAGGATTTTTACTTGGCTTGCCTGTCCTCTCTAATTACAACTCATGGATTGCAGACACCAGTGACTATTCCCGAAATATACTGAGAGACACTTTGGGATCAGAACAATGCAGTGTTTGGATCTGTGCATAATTTGTTGCTGGACACTGGTCTTAGGTGTAACAGTCCAAAGGAGAAACCAAAATACAAAGTCCAAATAGGTCTAGGGTCAAGACTGGTAACGGATGTTCGTATACAGGTAGGCAGGCATGAAGATAAATCAAGTATCCAGCGACAGATTGCAATTGCTATTTGGAACATTGAGACCTGCGAGTCTCTGTATATCATGATATGCTTTACCATATAAAATGACCTGCGAGTCACTGTAAATAATTTTCTTTATGCATACAAACAACAAAAAAGAAAATAATAAAAATATATTTACAAAAAAAAATAAAAATCAAGTCTCCAATACTCCACAAGAGAAAGAGGTGGAATTGGCTCCACAGAAGAGAGCCAAAAAAGGATAATGAGAAAACTGGACAGGCCAAAGGTATAGGAGAGCTGGTAGTGGAGAAGAAACCAAAAGATAACCAGGAATGTGAGAAGCGGCAGATTAAGGTATAGGAAAGGTGTAGTCCATACTGCAATTGCATACCGAATAGGCAAAAAATGTGATTCAGACACCTTACACTGCTTTGAGTCCTCTCTGAGAATTTGTAGACCTGGTGGGACTGGGAGCATGGTTACAACATGTAGAAAACACTCATTGTCCAGATAGCAACCCTATGTAAAGTCAGTGTATTGACATTGACTTTTGGATGTGACTTACAAAAGCATGACATGCAGAATGCAAACAACCTGGACCCCCTTGGTCCTGATATCAAATATTAGAATTGCATTGTATTTTGAACATAACCTGCAACATTACTGTACTTAAACGGCCATAAGGATTTCATGACAATTGCATTTTTTCATTGATCTGTGTACGTTTTTCCATTCAAGTTATTTTACATTATCACCTGGCATAAGACTGTATACATATATGATTTTATTTTTTAATTTTACATTTTTTGCATTCTTTATTTTTGGTTTCAATCCATAAGCAATAATACACAGTAGTGAAAGGTAAGATTGAACATACATGTCAGTTTACACATCTAGCGAATATTCTTTGAACTGAAATTTTTGTTTTTAGTTGTTAACTCATTACTTATACCTAAACAAATTGATCTGTACGAACTTCACTGTGAGCGAACACTGCGCAGGTTTCATAATGTAAGAAGAAGTTAACCTAGGGAAGAGTACTGGATGAATAAAATTGTCTTAAAGTTAATGTCTGTGACATGTATTCATAGTTGAACTATATCTCGGTGCCACGTACAGGCATTCAGGGGGAGGAGGATATAAATTTGGTTTAACCCCTTAAGGACACATGACATGTGTGACATGTCATGATTCCCTTTTATTCCAGAAGTTTGGTCCTTAAGGGGTTAATAACCAACCGAGCTGAGGGTAAGAAGTGCATAGGTAATAAGTGATAACTACAAACTAAAATGTGAACATAACACAATATAGACAAAACAAAGAATGGTCAGATGAACAGAGATCAGTTAATTTCCACATGGTGAAAGAAATTCAAGCAAATGGACAGTACTGCATGTATAACAATAAAGTGCTCTAGACACAAAGTGATAACACCACTAACCCATAAGATACATATAAAGTAAGTAAGTAAGTAACTTATATAACTTGTAACTTTTTTGACATGCGTTTTTCTGGATTTTATTTTTGTTATTCTGTCTCTAACTGTTAAAATACACCTACCATTAAAATTATAGACTGATCATTTCTTTGTATATGCTAATCGATATTGTCAGCGCTTAGAAGATAATCCCCTTGAAATGTAACAAGGGTGCACACATATAAAATGTATCTTAAAAAACTGTAGCAATAAAAACAGTATAAATGTCTCTAAAAAGTCCAAAGTCTGTTCAATTTACATATAAGTTCCTTTGAGGGAAAGTCCAAATTCTTATAGTAGCAAATGAGGACCCAAAAGTGTACTGGAAATTCCTTAAGGCAAAGAGAGACAAAAATATATGGTGTAACTCTAACATTTATTGCCCCAGTACAAAAGAAAATCCCCTCCCCCCAAAATAGGAACTCTTACAAAATTAAAATGTGGTACTTATCACTAAGGACCACGCAAAAAGCTCCTGTAGCTGCTCGTTCTCCTGAAGTCCCAAAGGATTGTCCGGTTCTCCAGAGAAGACAGTGTCTGCCTCGTGCACTAAGGTAGGCTGTCCGAAGATTTTTCAATGGAGAAACACTAAGAGTAGATCCGGCTTATACTTTTTATACATTACCAGGTACCTTTAAGAATTTTGAATTAGTTTGCCCGGTTACCTTTAAGAATTTTGAATTAGTTTGCCCGGTAAAAAAGATTGCAAAATTTATTGTTTTGGGGACATTAGCACACGGAGCAACAAAATATTTTATTGTAGATTTTAATTTCCAATAACTTGGAGACCAAAAGTGTGAATTTCCTTGTTATCATATGGGATGAAATAAGTTCAATAACTTGGGTTCATCAGTGTAAGAGGTCGCTCTAGCCCTGTAAGTGCACGGTTTACCTTTAAACACACGGTGCTTTATTTTTTATTATCAAGCCTCTTTTAAGCCATCAATTCAAATATGATGAAGTTGTACTAGATATTCAGAATAATGGGCATTTCTTACAGTACCACGTTATTAATGGTGACAGCTCTTGTGCTTCTGCCTTGGCCTTTTCATAAAATTACTTTCTGGCTTACAGCATTACTAACTGAGATCAGTCAGACAGACAAAACAAGTAACTGTTCGCAATACTCAAGGGTCATGGTATTGTGTTTATAAATCTATACATCAATGTTTCAACCCTTGGATTAAGGCAAACATAAATTCTAGAAAAGTTGTAAAATGTTGAAATATTTATATATAGTTGATGATGATGACAAAGTTAATAAAACTGTATTTGTAAAAATATCTCTGACTATAGTAATATTATAAAGAATAATAAATGACAAAACTTGCCATGAGGACTGGACCCTGGGAATATCCTGTAAGTTCCCTTTTTATAATATCCTTATACATCTTTCAGGCCTATCTTATTAAGATCCTGGTGTATAGTCTTTATAATAGTTGTGTTCCTACATCCAGGCCTTTACAATTAAAAGCCTTGGTAGACTTTTCTAGATAGTCCTAGATTTTTCAACATTTATTTTGTTTTCTGGTATCATAGACAACCAAGCTGTGGAAGGCCATGTAACTGGAAAAAAACACACACTAAGGATACAGTAAACTTATAATGGCTAATAGAACACATACACACTAGTGCAATGTTTCACAATTAGTGTTCCATGGAACCCTAGGGTTCCGTGAGAACAAAATTGGTGTTCCGCTGCGATTTGGCCGAGAAGTATCGCTAAACAGGGGTCTGGTAAGA